CTGAGTGACTCTCTGTCTAAGAACACTGCTTTTCCTGAACCCTTTCCAAGGCAGCCAACTTCTGCCTTGCTCTTCTGACTCTGTCTCTAGAAGAGCGACAGGAAAGAAGAGCCCTATCTTCTGTCAGGAATGGGATACAGTACCCTAAAATTCTAGTCTACCTACAGGGAAGGACCAATACAGAGCAAGACGTAGCATTTATCCATCTCTACTTCCCATTAATACTCTAAGAAATTAGGGTATAAACATGAAATAAGAAGTTAGGGCTATATCTATGACCATGTGCATATGGTAACAAAAGGCAGGGGAACCCTTTCCTATTAATATGAAAATTCTCTCTGTTGGATGTCATTCTATCCCATTTTACCTTGGAGCTGTACAGGACATAACAGTTTTGACACCCATGGTGCCCGCTGTATCAAAGAGCATGGATACATATCTTATATGGATCCCCCTGACATAGCTCTGGGAGGGAGGAAAATACCATCTCTGTGCAAGCAGCATTCCTTCTGCCTCGGGTATCTCTTTTCTTCCCACTGGGGCAATGGGGGTACTGCCCCAAACCATCAATTCCAGGCCAGTTCTCCTCCCTTCCCTTTGGATCATGCAGGGGATTTGACAGCTGGATTCATTACCCTTTACACTTACCAGGCCTCAGGAAGGCTAAGAAAGTGTGCAATACTCTGTGCAACAGAGTCCTGAATTACATTCTATCTTGTGACTAGGAAGAAATGTAAAATAAACAATATAATTTTATACTGTGCTGCGCATGGCCCACAAATTACAAGACGAGGAATTATGTGAAGAACAATTCATCTCCGAGATTCCAATTATAGGTGTGGGGAGAAAACAATATATTTGTGAGAATTTGAAATGCAGAGCAGTTAGCATAGTTTTATTTTAAAATGATAAATATTTTCAGATTGAAGTGCAATTAGTAGTGAAAATGTCATGTAGTTTTACTATGTGTGTTTGTTAATATGGCTGGCATAACTCATTTAGGAAATGCCTGCAGTGCAGAGTCCTGTACTACATATATCGCAACCAAAAATACAGTACTTACACGTATATATAAAATGCACACAGAGACAACATTGCCAAACAGCCTTTTGGGACAGTCTAAAAGAATATCATTAATTTTTACTGTATACTTACACTTCTGGCTCAGTTCCAGCACTGGCTTTCTGTAAAAATCATTTCAAGTATAGAATTATGCTATTTGCTTGCAGCAACATCACAGGAACAGTAGTGAGCCATATGTTGCTACTTAGCAACTTAGTCTATAAGTCCCAAAGCATGTACTGATTTGAAAATTGAACAGAAATGATAATTGTTGAGGGATGCTGTGAGGCAACTTGTCTTGGATTACCAAGCTATGCAGATGTTTGATGTTATATAGCAAAAGGAACAAAACACTATTTTTCCCGTCCAATGGCTGAGCTTTTATTTATGTTAGCCTAAAGGGGATAAATTGATTAAACCCTTTAAAATAATACAAGGTGATGTTTTTCTGGACATGAACCCTTTGCAGTAAACAGAAAGAACTGAAGTGCAAAGTTCAGCTTTTTCAGGGCAATCTAACTATTTCTGATGTCTAAATTTTATTTTCTCCTGCAACACAGTTTATTTTATAGCCCCCAAATTTCTAGAAATGCTTGACTCTAAGAAAAGGTAGTGGTAAAAGGCAAAACAAACAAAACTAACTTCTCAGGGTTAGATCCAAAGCAAGGATGTGAATATATCAGCACGCATCAGGACCTCAAAAATCATGCTTTCTATATTCACATAATCCTGAAGACAGCCTAGTGGAAACCCCCTGGTCTTTGGTGTTGTATACCATGACTCAGTCTGCCAGCCTACCTCCCAAATAAGCTGTGTCAGACTCTGAAATTAGAAAATGATGCTTGTGCCTGACTCAGTCAGCATGATCAGAGCTTGAATAAAAGTTTCTGATAAGACTGCGCGTTACCTAACATGTGGGATTCATATTTTAGTTAACAGATGTGCCTCCATCAGGGAAAGTGGAGAAATGAATTCACTCATCATTCTGACAGGATTTAAACCCTCATCTCTGATCTTTCAAGTGAACAGCCAAGTTACTGGGGATGGGAGGGAACCTTCACTCCTCTCGCTGAAGTCATGCATTTGCAAGGCTCATGAGGACAGACGCAAAATGGACACAGGAGAAAACTCTCTCAGTTAAGTGACGAGGCTTTCACCAGGGAGACATTTTCTCATGTCTTCTTATGGGATTATTTGTTTTATATGAGGTAACAGCAAGTGGAAAATGAACAAACAGTCCTGAAAACATGGACCAGAAAATACAGCCACATCCTTTCCTCTTCCTCTCTGTCCCCAGTGAAACACATAACCTGGCATGCTTTGTTTTCAGACCAGTGAATATCGTATTCTGTCCAGTTTTAATAAGCAGGTTCGCTGTTGAAATGGTAGTCAGTTCACCAAATTTGGGTAACCACCAAACATTTACGCCTGAGATAGGAACAGTGCCCCATTACAGTTGGTGAAGACCTCGCCAATGGAGAGGTGCTTAGCTCCTTTGAGGAATGACTAGCAGCTATCTACATCAGGAACAGGTTCGGGAAGGCTTCTCTCACAGTCCCAGTTCTTACCTAAACCAGAGAGAGGCAGGATTTCCAATACACCTCCACTTCCTGCTCCTAGTGTGGTTTTCGTCTCCTTTTTAAAATATTGTTATTATTACAGGTCGTCACCCATATTCACTTAAAAAATGCTGCAATGGTGTAAGCTACCAGGAGAGAATCACAGTAAGGGAAAGGAGGGTGCAACAGCTCAAGGCTGACAGCTTCTCTCAAAAAGGCACGGGAGGCTGTTTAACCAGGGTGCGTTTGGTAATAACATAAAATTCTGTGCCTGGCAGTTGAGATAGCTCTTGCCACACGGATCCCCCAGCAAAGGATGGAATTTTGACACGTGCCTCTGGGTTTTGAACTCCACCTGGGAGCCAAATACCCAAAAGCTCAGCTTTGCCATAGCAAGGTTTTAAGTCTGTAAGCCCTTCCTTGATTCCAGCCCTCAGTAAGCATTTAGGGTTTTCTGTCATCTTTGAATTTGGAAATGTCACATTTGATAGATTTTTTCCTTGAAGACAAAATCATTTGCACTTAAAATATCTAGGCCTGGATCTTTAAAGGTACTTGAAGCACCTTACTTCCACTGAAACCAGTGAGTGTTAGATGCATAAATATCTCTGAGGATCTAGGCCTTGTTAGCACATGTAGAAACTGCATAAAAGATTAAAACTTATACTCTTAATTTTTCAATATGCCATTTAAATTATTTAAACTACATGCATACACAGTACAAAAATATCAACAGAAGAAAAATAATTCTGATGTATAACGTGGATTTGCAATTCTTTATTCAAAACTATTTAAGACAGACATAATGATTCTCTGAAAGGTAGCAGCTGCCTTATAACAGCAATCATTCACAGAGTTTGTATTTCTACTGTTTCAAACAAATTCAATTAGCCCTTGCACTTCAAAACCCTTAAGGCATAAATGAGATGATACTAGGCTGCTTTAATCTAATAGTAATACTAAAACTTGTCAGTACAGTTTTTGGATTAATGGTTAGAGAAAAATTAATAATATAATTTTTCATTTTTTAATCAAACAGTTCTATTCTAAACTACCTCTGGATCTTGGAGGGCTCTTAGCTGAATAAGTTCAATCATGCACAAATCCTAAACGCAAAGTACAGTTGGTCTCTAAAGGTATTTCAGAATAACTTCAACAGAAGGCTGGGAAGCAACATGGCGGAACATTTTAAAGATGGTCTTTTTGATTGAACAATGTAGCTCATCTCACACAACCTCCTGCTTCCCTACCCCCAAATGAACCCATGTACTACACATCGTCATTAGAGCAACATACTGAGCTGAAAAACCCTACTTCATGAGGACATTTAGCTTTGAACATACCGTCGCTTTCCAAAGCTATTGATTCCTAAATGACATCCTGCTCATCCACAAACATTTATTGTGCATGCAATCTTGTTTCCCACCTAATGAGAGCTCTTCATAAAGTCCTACTGGTCCTGTCAGAAAGAGGTATATCAGACTAGCCACCGCTGGGCCTGAAATATTGCATGACCTAGACCACAAGGCTGATTATTTAGGGAAATTTCTGACACCATCTAACTGATATGCACCACTATCACCATCACTTACTAATGTGGAATTAAACTGACCAAAACTTAAGAAGTAAATTCAAATTTCTCCCCTACATATAGATGTAGCTACAGGCAGACAACCCAAAAATTTCAAAACTATTTCTGCTTTTTAAGAAGTAATTAAAATCTTTCTTTCTTAGAAATCTACAGTATCTTAGCATTCAAGTGGAAAGGTGAAAGATTTTTAAGTATACAACCAGTATCAGAATTTAGTGTGTAGGGTTCCCCAAAAGGGAAAGGACTCAAAAATACCTGTAAAGAATCCACACCACATTAAACCTTTTGGGCTGCAAGCTACAGAAGACCAAGTCATTGCTTTAACCTCAACTGCTAACGGTGTAGCATTGGCAACATTCCTCAGCCATAAGATTAATGTTAAAAGCACAATTCTTCAACTACAACTGGCCTACGAGTGATAATTAAAGCTATTTGTGACATGTGTAGCTTATAATGATTAACTTGTCTGCAGTCAGATAAACAAATAACCTGCACCTGTAAAGACTTTATTTCCTGAAGGTAAAACAACTGTTTAGCAAAGATCATGCTGGCAAAACAGCTGCTTGCATTCTGGAGAGGAAACAAGGTAGTATCTTTCAACAAACGCCAACTCTGGTGTTTTATCAGCTCTATCTCATTAACTGGAAACAAGGCTTAAATGCTTTGTTTATAAATTATGATTATTCCTGATTGCAGCAGTTACTGATAGTGCCACTCATTTGCAATGCAACTCTTTGAATTTGTTTAATTACAATTTGAAACAAGGCAGAGAAGATTAATTAACCCACCTGGCTGGCTGGCACATAGTCCTGGCTCGGCTCTGTCATACTCATATACATGTTCTCACCGTCAAACTGCAAAGGAAATAATAGTAAACATTCAGCAAACTTGAATATTTTTCAGCATTGACTGAAAAAAACCAGTAGCTATAAAATAATATTACAGCCTGGTTTTAGAGACTTGTAATTGCGTGTGTGCATCTTGTCTTTGATGTTCCTGTTGTCATCCTTATTGACCCTGGATGTCAGTGATTTGGAGTAATTAGCGCTCTAGTAATTACAGCTAGCAAGCAAGAAATGAATGGTTTCCTTTCATCTGCAATCTGTTTTAAAACAAAATGGCTCATTTTGTGCACCATGTATACATATTGCTGTTGGTTGTAATGAAGTACTAAGTGAATTGCACAGTTACTGAGAAAAGGAAGATGAGAATAGAAACTGCACTAAAATGCATCTTAATGGATTCCAACTTTAGCTTCTGAGCAGAACAAGAGTTGAAATTTCAAAACAAATTAAACTCCCTCCTATTGAAATGTTCCCATATCAGAAAGTAAGAAATACATTTCCAGACAGCTTTCAGACATCTGAATGTATGAAACAGTATACCTCCTGACCGTATGGTGGAAGAGGATAGTTTGCTCAATGTGTGAATAAAGTAAACATTCATAAACAGAACTGCAAAAATACCCTTCCATAAATGATAAATACCATTCCTGGAAATGCAAACAAAGCCTTTTTGTTGTTCTTTTTCTCTCCTTCGCTGCAGTTAAGAACTAACAGAAATGTGATAGAAAGGAGTTGATTAAAATCTGAAGGTCTAGATGGAGAAAAACGGTCAGAACTGAAGCCTCATCCTGTACCAACACAAAGGAATATAAAACTACTTATTTCTTATGTAATCTGAAAAACGTCCCCGCAGAACTCTTGTCATACCCACTCAAGTGGCAGTGCCAACAAGGCAACTATAGTCCCAGTGTCTGCTCAGGAGGTAGGGAAAATCTTTGCAAACCTTTCAAGTAGAAATGAAC